GTCTATGGAATATTTGTACATTTAATTTTTTTTAACACTGAAGAATGTCTTTCTCATCTTGTTCATACACATAAATTTTGACTTTGCCCAATATTCTCAAATCTTATCTATACAAACCCAAATATTCAGTAGACAAGAGGCACTCCAGTGTTCGGAACCTATATACTTTAGAAAGTGTTCAGAGTTTTGAAATTTAAAGCTAAATTTAGCAAAATGTTTCAAGTTAGATAGATTTCAGATAGATATAGATTTTATCAAGTGTATTTGGTTTCAACTTATTCACCACAGGGACGGGGAACGTGTGCAGTATTCTATAGAAAATAACACATGGGCGGTTGAAGCCTGAGTTGGAGAAATTATGGAGGGACTTTTCTAAAGAACAGATATCCCATTATTTGCTTTAACTTTTGCATTACAGCTCTGTAAATCGCCACATCTGCCCCATGTTTCAATAAATTTTGCTACATAACAGTCTGTTGTGTGGAAGAAGGAAAAGAACTGGTTTCTATATCTAAGCTAGCATGATGTAGAACAGGGAAAACAGGAATGGCTCTTTAGATCATCACCTGGACCAGTTTAGGGGAGAAATGTTGTTCAGGGTCAGAAGTGAACATGAGAATACTGGATCTGATGAGCTTCACAGAAATGGAAATTGGACTTTCTACGTACCATGGGATGGTTTTGAGATCACCTTTATTATATTTAGAGGAACAAGGCAACTCCAGGTTTGGTTTACTATGACTAGTTTTCTACTCCCAAGATCAGAGAAGAGTTGAGATATCCAAGTAAAGTGACAGAGTAGCTGAGTATCTTATGACCGTTCAAATAAAGCTTTTTATATGTCATTAGGCATCAAACCATTCCTTCCACCTCTCCTTAGTACAATCTGCTTTAATTAAGTTTTATGCCTAGACACACAGAAAGAAAAAAAAATCTTTAAAACTGAGCATAGAGAACAAAACACCAGTAAAGGTAAAATTACAGTCAAAAGTGACAAGAAGAAATTAATTCCAAATCACCCCATGCAACACAAATGAAAATGTACATAATATTGGGGGAAGAATGAGATCAGAATTTGAGCTATTCTCTTTTAGATCTTATGGGACAGGTAGATCCTGCTAACCCTATCTTCCTTAAGAAGCGCAATATTTGCTAAAATTGCAACTATCTATTGCATAACTCAACCTCAGTACTTCTCAAATCTGGTTTTATTTTAGAACCACATAGAAAACTTTTAAAAATAAAAATATCTAGGCCGTGTTACATACCAATTAAATAATACCCTCTGGGTCTTGGTCTTATGCATTGGTATTTTTCAAGCTTCCTAGGTGATTGTAACATGAAGAGCTGAGAACTACTACAACCTGAGTCTGTCAGGCTGAGCAAACCTGGGTAGGAATGTAAGCATTCTAGAAATTTCTTTGCAGTTGGATATTTTGTAGACTTTCTACACAAACTACCTCCCAGGAGCAGAGCTCACTGGTGGCAGTGAAAAGATGCTTGCATGTCCCATATCTAGTTAAAGTGAAATGCATTAAATTTAGAGCAGTGTTTCTGAAACTTGGATTTTCGTAAGACTCATCTGAGGAGCTTATTAAAAATACATTAAGGGGCCCACCCAGAATCTACTGAATCAAAATCTCTAGGGATCTTCAGGAGAGGATCCCAGAGCTTATGTTTTTAACAAATATCCTAGGCAAATCTTACAGTAAAGCAAATTTGCTAAAAACTGCTTTAGAAGAATCACTATTATAATTAGGTCTTGGACTTTCAATATCTCTTGTCTTTCCAAGAGGGCATCCTGCTACCACATAGGAATATGGACACAGTCTACCCTCTATAAAATCTGGTAACTTTTTGAGATAAGGCTAAGACAGACATACAGTCAAAAGGCAAGTGAAATGCTACATCCTGATTAGGCTTTAACAATCTTTTCAGGGCTGGAATAACAAATATGACTAATTCCTCTTAGGGGACTGATTCTAAAGAGAAGGACTGAGCTAGTTTCATTTTTAAACACTCCTGAAAAATGTATGTATACACTTATGATTTGTGCGCTCTCTGTATCGATTAATGGTTGAAAACAGCAGTGTCAGGATAGCCCCAACAATAAACAATCTTCCCTAATTCCTCAAAATAAAAGTAAGGTCATTTGCATAGTCACACATGCAGAGATCTTCCTTGAATGTTAAGATGTAAATAGGTATAATTTCAGATAAATATGTGAGACCTGAGCTGGTGAAGAAACCATGCTGAACACCAGGTTGGGAGTCATCCCCTGCATGGTAATTACATCTGTCCAATGGGCAGACTCAGCTGGGGCAAGTTTTAAATATACAGATCCCTGAGCTATGAAAGAAGAAACAAAACTGCAAAGTAACACCACCAACAATAAAACAAAAAGTACGAAGGCACAAGTGATACTACCAATGTATTATAGAAATTTTTAAGCATACACAAAGCTAGAGAAACTAGTATATTAAACTCAGTCCCAGGCTCATTAATTGTCCACTTTTTGATCTCGAAACTTTTAGGAAGTAGAAATTTTCAATTAATACCAGACATTGTCACTTTACATGTAAATATTTTATGACACATGTATAAATAATACAGATATTTTTTATTTTTGACATGATTTTTTTTCATACCTATCAGAATTTGCAATAATTTCTTTATATCATCTAATAATCAGGCAACACTGAGATACTGACTCTCTCAAAGATGATTTTTACAGTTAGTTTGTTTGTTTTCCTTTTAATTAGATTCCAAACAAGATCTACTTATCATATTTGGCTCTTTTGTCCTTTAAATATCTTTTATTCTATAAGAGCCACACATCCCCACTTCTTTTTCCCCTTAAAATTGATTTTCCAGAGAAAGTGTAGGTCATTTGTTCTATAAAGCTTCACACGTTTTTTTAGTCCCAGGCTTTCTAGTAGTATCATTTAACTTGTTCCTTAAAGCCATCTATTGCTTATAAACTCTAAATTAAATCTAGACTCTGATTTGCTATAAGTTCAATTTTTTAAAGCAAGGATACTTCATTATATCACATCATAAGGCACATGATGTCTGGCTGTACTACTTATAGTGATGCTCAGATTGATCTTCATGGGTTCAAGTGAAGCAATGATGGAAATAATGTGAGAATGTATTCCACGATAAATGTGTAATGTAGTCCATGCCATTCCATTATAAATGTCAGTCAAGTAATAGAGAAGGAAAAGATGTCTTTGGCCATTTGTGATTCATCACCTTCCCTCCTTTGTCATGGGTCTAGTTGGGAACTTCCATATAGACACTCAGTCTATGTCTGTAGTCATGCGATATGGAGAACCTGTGCTTGACTCCTGCTTGAGAAAGCTTAACATGTCTGTGACCACAGGCTTTTGGTGGCTGCACTGGGATCAATCTACAATCTTTGAGAGCAAGAAATGTTCAAGGCTGTCCTGTAGACTAGATCTGAGAAAGAGCCAACATGAGGTTGAGTTCTGGTCAGGGGTAGCATTACATTATCCCACTGAATACAATGGTCAAGGTGAGACCAAAATAAAATAGCATTGTGCTTACATCCCCCGAGTTGTCTGTTCTATATACTGGTAACACATGAAGATGCAGCTTGAATAGAAACGCAGCCATTAAAGGTGACTGGAAGATGAGTAAGTGTAGACACTATGGAGAGACACTTCTCAGAAAGTTGGCTACAATGGGCTAGAATAATGGAGTGCTCACTAGACAAAATTCAAAGATAATGTTTTTTAATGTAGTAAAGAGATTGGAATAAAATAAAGGGAGCAAGAGACTATCCACGAGGGCCAGTTAGAGGGAGGCAGATACCATCATCAAGTAATTGGATATACTCTGGATACCTAGAGCTTTGAAAAGAGCTAAAGGGATGATATGGAAGACAGGGAAATCCACTTGGATCGAGGAAAATGCAGGGATGATCCTTAATAATAGGAATTTCCAAAGAACTCAGGAAGTTGTCCCAAGGGAGAAGTTAAAGTAGGCAACTTGATAAGCTTCTTGGATACATGTGGAATATTAGCAGCCATCATTCTAAAAGGCTGCACATTGGACTCATTTGACTTCAAACCAGAATAATTCAATCAGAATCGCTGAGGGCCACCCAGGCATTAGTATTATATTCAAGATCCCAAGTGATGCCAATATGCAGTGAAGTTTGATAACCACCGTCATAACTGATAAAAATCCCAAGGAAAATTAAGTTTCAGTAAAGGTAAAGACATAGCATAGTGATGTCAGAGGATAGAATAGAAAGGGTAAAAGAGAAAAGCTGCAGTGGGAAAATGTTTCAGAGATCATAATGAGAGTAACAGCATGGGGATGATAGCAGGCTTAACGTTTGGGCTTTCGGGTACCATAATCCTAAATTCGAATCCAGGCTCTACCACCTTTTAGCTTTCTTTCTTTCTTTTTTTTTTTCACATCTTCTTTCCTTTTATTGAAAAAAATTTTTTAAAATGGCAGTTAATAAAGGACACAAACAAATCAACATGGATATACTAGTGAAAAACATACACAATATAAAACTAAAAATGTCATTGGCGCTTCTTCAATTGGTTAAAAGCACAAAAATGTAACAGGCAGGTCTGTTTTAAACAAATTAAAAAGCTGTGTTTCTTTCCCCCCAATTCTCTCCAAGTCAGATATATATACACACACAAATGTTTTGTAAAGATGTACACAAGAAGTTGTATCCTGAATTACGGGAAACAGATATTGAAACAGAAATTAACAGAATAAAGTCAGCAACAGATTAGCAATTTTAAAAACCGAGTCTTCAAATGCTGCATGGCACAAAGCTATACTGCTAGATATTAAGGAAAAAGACTACGGCTTTTAGCAAAGATGCTTTTCCAGAAAAGCAAATAAAAACAACGCAATCAGCAGACCAAAGAAGCAACAGCTAGATATCAGAGCTAAAATTTCTCACATCTGAGATAGAAAATCCTATTTATCCAGAATGGACTAAGATTTCAGGACAAAATAGGGACATTTTTAACATTTCTTACTTTATCCATTTTAAGCTCTCTGCTCCTTTCAATTTCACCCCATAATTTCACATGATACTGCAGAATGATGGCTGCTTTTAGAATTGGCCATTTTATTTTTCTTTCTGTAGCAAGGCTGTCATGGAGCCTGGATATTTCAGGCTCATATGCATCCATGACCAGCATCCCGCCGTGGTTAAAAAACTTAGCAATGGATTTCGTGAACTCAGCTTCCCACTGCTGCTTTGTTCTCTCACTGATGAAGGTCAGCTTCACAGTGTATTTGTCATTGAACCTTTTGAGACTAGAGGACAGTTGTCAAATATCATCAGGATCCATCCCTGTAGGATCTTTCCTGTGGGCCACGAGAAAGATGCTCTTCTCCTTATACGAGATATAAGTGGTCAGGATCCCCATCATCACAAAATACGATATGACACACAAAGCCAAAACAGGCTTGAACTCTGGAAAGGGGTGCATATAATCCCAAATCAAAGCCACTATGGTAAAGAAACAGGAGATGGTACAGATGGTGAGGTGACCATCAATTAGACCAAAATTCTCCACATACTTGTACTTTTCCAGATGCACCTTTTTGGCAGAATCATCCAAAGAATTTTTCACAGCTGATCCATCCCATTTGTCAATTTTTACAGGCTTGTCATCAATCTTCCACTTATGCAACAAGCTGCTGCGGCCACTACCCATCCCTCTGCTGGGGCCACCGCCAGCCCCACTACTGCCTCCACCACCATCAGTTCTCCCACGCTGTACCTTTTAGCTTTCTATCATGAGCAAATTACATACTTTCTCTCAGATTAAATGTTCTCATTAATAAAGTGATTTTATTACTAGTATCTTGTTTGTTTTGTCTGTCTATTGCGTGTCATCTCTCACTGAAATGTCAACTCCATGAGAATAGAAACCTTGTCTATCTTGTTCAAAATTGAATTCCCAGTCCCCCAAATAGTGCTTGGTCATGCAGTAGGTGTTTATTAGATATATTTTTTTAATGTATGGATGAAAATACTTTATATTTTTTTATTGTTTACTATTGATGAGCACTTTTTTCTAAGCACTTCACATCCACCATTTTATTGAATTCAACCCCAGCAGATAGTTACTATGACAATTTCCAATTTTTAGATGAAGACAATTAAGCAAAGGTCAGTTATTTAGTAGATGTATAAGTGGTATGATGCATGGAAAGCACTTTGATAATTTAAAACAAATCTTACTAAATGCTAGCGAACAATGAGAAAAAGATAAAAGGCATAGTGGAATTAACTGCCCTTAAGATTCTGAGAGGAACTCAGGTATTAGGTTGTGTCTGTGAGGTCTTATATATGGAAACTGAACATTGAAATATCAGAAGCAAGTTTAAGAAGCATGCAACCGTTGTTTGCATTCCAGATAAAGCATGAGTGAAAAAGGTATTTCATGCTTCTACAAAGATGGTGGAAGGAGGTAGGGTAGCGAGTCTTATATATCGAGAGAGAGATTACTGTCCACCTTAGATGTTGGCTCAACCTCTTGTATCTATTATTGGAGAACCAGTGGGTCTTTGTTAAAATTTATCTTTGATTATTATTACATGGAAGGAAGCACTGAAAGAAGTGATGGTGTTTTGAGCCAAGAAATATAATATCCTTTGAAAAAGCTTGTAATAAGCAATTTTTCTTCTGTTAATAGAGTACCAAAAAAATGTCACACAAACCTCAACTCCATCAGGTTCCATAGAAGGTATGATGTGACCTCTCAGCACTTTCTAGCTTTAATATTACTAACTATGCGAATGAAAGGAATTTCTGTTCCCAAACCAGTCTTGAATCTAGCCATTCAGTTGAGATTGTCAACAATGCAGGAAATTATTCCTTAGAACATTTTCATGGGCAGAATTTTTTAAGTGGAGTATTTGTATTATTTTTAAAGTGTCAAACTTCATTGTAGATCACAGCCTATTCTATTCTGCATTGTAAGATTTTTCCTTTGTACATCTAATGTGCCCTTAATTTGACAATTCAGTCAAATGATCTCTTTGCAGTTCATTCATGCAATCACAGCATAACAGATGACCATTAGAGGATCAGAGTTGAAATGTATGGGAATGCACAAGCAATCTCTACACAAGATTAAAACCGAATTGCCTGCCAACTTGGTACCAAAAGGGAGAGCTTTGCTTTATGTACTGTCCAGTAAGCTGCATGCCCTATTTAGCAAAGGAGATATATAGAACTAAACTAAAAATCATGTCTCTTAATATAATCCCTTGGCTTCTGTAAGACTCCTATTTCTTGAAATAATAAATAAAATGACAATGATGAGGAAGTGAATAATTAATGCTACCAGAGATACAGAGTATGCATTTAAAATCTAATCCTCTAAAAACAAACATATTTTTCTAATGTGAATTTTTTTCATTAACCTGTAAATAATAACATACCATAGTTTTACTACAGGATCTATACATATGCATATCATTTCTAAAGCTACATGTAATATGCAGCACCTAAAAATAAAGTTGGTTGAAATAGTTTCCTATAGCAAAGCATAGCTACATATCCTGAAGAGAAATGGGGTAGAGTTAATTATTGTTTCCAATTCTTTATTCCCTCCAACAGAATCCTGCACACATTCCTTTGCTGTGCAACTTTGTAGTGCCTATTAATAGAAGAGGTATATTTTACACCTCTGTCACGTTGATTTTGAGCTTCACTATATGACTAGTTTTGGACAATGAATATTTAATAGCTGTGATATGAGTGGAAGCTGTAACTGTCTTGAGGAGGTTTGGCTTGGCCTCTTGTCCTTCTGTGCATGCACCACAAAAGTAACTGCTCCTCTCAGAATGAAAGACATGGTGAGGACACCTAGACCCAGCCCACAGCCTGAAACAAAGCCACCCTGCCTGATCTGAAAACCTGTCACCAAGACAAAAAAATGTTCATTGTTTTAAACCACTGAGATTTAGTTGTTGTTTTGCAGCATCATGGTAGCAGACACCTGAAGGATACAAGGAGAAATGAGGAAACTGTGGACGGAAAAGGGGCCACAGGCTAAACCTGATAAACTCAGGAGACTGAAAACAACCACATAAGATGGCATGAGCATAAAAAAACCGTTCATAACCAAGTGGGCCATGGTGGGAAGTCACATCTTTAGCTTCCTTCATAAAGTTAGTCTGTGCCTTTTCAGTGGGCCTCTCTGTTTTTCTGCACCTAAGGCAACATTTTAGGAATGTCAGTAATCCCTTTTCTGGACCAGAGCTGGAAACTGCTAAATTCCTCCTTATCATGCTTATCTCCCAATTACCATCCCTTTGTGTTGTAAAAAAAGCTAACTGTTAGCTATCCTGTACCCACCTATGTGAAAGAAGTAGCTGTCTCTCCAATTTACTTTTATCAAATCCCAGAGGTTTCCCTGCTTTGTTCTCTCCCACCCCCTTAATCTGTCACCAATGGATTTCATGTAACCCACCTCCTTCGATTTTATGTATAAAATAAGCTGCAAACCGCCATTTTGCGGAGCATTTTCTCAATCCGTTGAGATTTCACTTCCCGGCAATTGTCGATATTTTGGCTCAAATAAACTCTTATAAATTTTCTCTTATACTGGATATTTTTCGTCAACAAAACCAAGACAGAAGGGAAGAACAAGGTATTTCTCAAGGTTATATAGCAAGTCACCAGACACTCAAAGGTGAACCCTAGCTATTCTCATTTAATCCAAGTAGTTTGCCCCCTTGATTAATATATATTATTTTTTGCCCTAGAAAGTAACTTATTTTCTTATATGTATGTGTATATATTACATCCATAAATTACTACAAACGTAATGTTTTTGGGAAGAAAGAAAAGTTAAATTTTGAATATACATTCAAATGAATAGAGGCAGCTCTGTGTATATTGGAACTCAGAAACTCTGGGTTAGATACCCACATCGTGTTTTACCATGTATCTGCTCACTGTTCTACCTTATTTTCTCTGAACCTCTGTTCATTTAATTGCTAAAAAGAGTTAACATAATTTTTTTAGACAGTTTATGAAGAAAAGGTATTTTAAGTAACGGCCTAGTGATAGGCACATGGTATGTAATAAATATTTTGTAGTAAATATAAATTTATTTTTAACATCCTAAAATACTGTGTGAATTAAAATAAGATTTTATGGCTCATTTATACGTAGCACATAAATACATCATAGTTCGTTGCATCTTCCTTTCTAGAGCTTGTAATCTAAGGCATGTGCCACCAATTTAGAAGTGAATTTGATAAAATTTTATATTCCCAAATATCCATCAACTGTTACATGAAGTTGAACAGCTATAATTCAACAAAGGACTCCCTGCACATCACACAAGCACGCCTGAGAGACGCACACTGTAAATCAGCTGAAGGTGGGCAAATCGGGCTAGCGGGGGAGGAGGGAAGGAGGAAGTGCAAAGACAGGGGCCATGGGGCCCCAGAATGCAGACTGAAGTCTCAGCCTCGGGAGAGGGAAGAATTCAGGTTTCAGGCCGCACCCCTTGTGACCCACAGTCCTGCCTGAGGGATCAGCATACAAGGGGGCTGAACCCAGCATTTGAGGCAGAGACCTCAGGTGAGAACTGTGGTTTAAGCCCAGATGGCCAGGCAGAAATCAGAAAGCAAAGACACAGAGCCTGGCTGCCTCCCTCCCACCCTCACAGGCCTTGCCCCACTCCTGCCCTCCCCATAGTTAGAAGAGGGCTTCAGAAGAAACAGGTAGTAGTGTCGGATTAAAGAACAAAATATCTACAACGCTGAGAACTGCTCCGACAGTCCTGCGCACTCTGCTGACAGGGAAAGAGCTGAGAGTGGGGGGTAAACGAGACAGCTCTGGGCCAGTCGGAGACACAAGCACCAGCGGCCTTTCTACCCCAACCCCACCTTTCTGGGCAGATCCCTGCCGGGTAATCAGAACTGCATTGCCAGGGGCACTCTGGGCACCTGGTAGCCAGCCCCGCCTCTGCAAGCTGCATGGAGGTTTTTCACAGCAGAGCACAACCCGCAAAGGGCTAGGAAGACTGCTAGAAGGTGTCAGGCCAAGATCTGTGCTGCAACATAAATGCGCAATGGCTGGACTTAGTGTTATTATTTTTCTTTCTTTCTTCTTCTCCTTCCCCTTCTCCTTCTCCTTCTTCTTCTCTCTCTCATTTTATTTTCTTTCTTTCCTCTTTTTCTTTTTTTTTCTACTCTTTTCGTTGTTCTGTTTCTCTTTTATTTCTTTTCAGGTTTTTTTTTGGTGTTATTTAGTTTTTTCTGGTTTCTGTTTGCTTGTTTGTTTTGCTTTGGTTTTCGTGTTTAGTTTCGTTGTTTTTGTTTTTTGTATTTTTGTTTGCCTTCATTGTTGTGTGTGGTTTTTGAGTGTGTATTTGTTTTTTGTTGTTGTTTTTTCTTTTTTGTTTTTGTTTTGTTGTTGTTGTTTCATTTTGTGGGGTGATCGCAGGCCCAGCCCCAGTCCAGGAGCTGAGACTACACGGAATTTGTAGAAATCACTGACCACACCCTGTAGCCCCCTGTAACGTCGTCCTGCCCACCTACAGCTGTATTTCCAGGGACACTCTGGGTGCCTGGGGGACCAGCTCCACCCCAAAAACCATGGAGGATTTTTTTGTTTTTTTGTTTTTTACAGCAGGGAACAATCCACAAAGGCCTGGGGGGATTTTGGTGGTGAACAGTGACCCAAACCTGCACCGCAGCCATCAGGAGCAGCTCTGGGGAATTTGCGAGCCTGAGGTGGAGGCTGGCTGCAGTGCCCTCAGGGAGCAATACAGGGCGGTCACAGACCAGATAGAGGTGTAAGATCTGAATCTGCATTAATGTTGTTAAAACCGCTGGTCAGGTTTCATGGCTCACTTGAACTCCACCCCACCCAGCTAGTGCTGCATCAAGGGCACTCTCAACATCAGGTCAACCAGCCAGACAAATGCCCCTAAGGAGCCTCTTTCAACAGCTGGGCCTTACGGGCAGCTGACAGGTGGCAACAGGCCTTGGGGCCCTGAGCCTTTTGCTAAGCTGCCTCAGGCCCAATATTTGTGGCAGCCAGCATCAGTTCAGAGAGAGGCCACCCCCACATACCTCCAGGTCCAGCACAGGCAGCAGCCATCCACATACAGCTTTGAGGCACCTACTAGGTAACCACGGGCAGGTAACAGGCAGGGCTGAAACTGCCCTGCGTGGGAGCCCCGCCCAAGAAACACCAGAAACAACACACCCGTGGCCAGCTTCAGACCACACCAGAGCACTACCTGGTTAGCCCCACAAGCAGCACATCCAAAGGGGGTTCTCAACAGGCATGAGAGCCCATAGGGGCAAAGCCTCTGCTGAGGGGTCAAGCCCTCACACAGCAGCTCATACACTGTGCACAGCCAATCCTCACAGTTAGTGAGCCTGGGAGTCAATCCCACTCACTGACACGCTAAAAGAAATTAAAGCTCAACTATAACAGAAGAACACTCACAACACAAGGGACACCTCTGGAACGCACCCACAGGAGATCAGGGTGACTGAGAATTTGACTATAAATGACACACATGCCACATAAGACCACCCAGCAAACACTGAGAGACATAGGAGATCTACCTAATATGTAGAAGCAAACACAGAGTGGTGGCTAGAATGAGGACACAAAGAAACATGTCCCAACTAAAAGAAAAGAAGAAACATCCAGAAATGGAACTAAATTAAACAAAGGCAGTCAACCTCCCAAATTCAGAGTTTAAAACACTGATGATAAGAATGCTTGGGCCAGCCAAGTGGCGTGTTGGTTAAGAGCTGGCTTGGGACACCAGAGGGCCCCAGTTCGGATCCCACAAATGAGGGCCAGCGACACTGCCCTCTACAGCTAAGATGCTGAACAACATCTCAACCTGGAGCTGGGCTGCCGTGAGTCACTGGCAATGGCATAGGCTGCAGCCCCTCCTGCAGTGGGTTGCCAGGGGCTACTGTGTGCAGCCAGCAGCCAGCGTGAGTGGCCAGCAGCTTCCATGAGCGGCCGTCCAGAAGCTGGTGACTGATCTGCCTCACCCAGGAAGAGCACAATGATGGTGCCAACTTGGGCCAGTGAAGCAACGTCCTCCACAAATAGACTGAAGAACAAAAGGACAGCAACTTGTCTGTGCCCCTTCCCACAATTTCCCAGCGCTGTTCCCCTCCCCCAATTCCCCAAGAAAAATCTTTTTTAAAAAAAGGAATGCTTAAGGAACTTAATGAGAATTTCAACAAAGAGATAGCAAACATAAAGAAGGGTACAGAAACCATGAAAAATAACCAGTCAGAAATAAAGAACACAATAACTGAAATGAAGAATACACCACAAGAAATGACCAGCAGATTAGATGAAGCAGAGGATCAAATCAGTGATTCAGAAGACAAAGTAGTAAAATTCACCCAATCAGAAAAACAAAAAGAAAAAGAATAAAAAACAATGAAAATAGCTTGGAAGACCTGTGGGACAACATCAAGCACAACAAGATTCACATCATAAGGACACCAAAAGGAGAAGAGAGGGAGCAAGGGATCAAGAACATATTTGAAGAAATAATGACCAAAAATTTCCTTAAGCTGGTGATGGAAAATGACATACAAGCCAGGAAGTGCAGCGAGTTCCAAACAAGATGAACCCAAACAGGCCCACACCAAGACACATCGTAGCTAAAATGGCAAAGGTGAAAGACAAACAGAGAATCCTAAAGGCAGCAAGAGAAAGACAGCTAGTTACTTTCAAGGGAGCTCCCATAAGACTATCAGCTGACTTTTCTACAGAAATTTTGCAGGCCAGAAGGGAGTGGCAGGAAATATTCAAAGTGATGCAAAACAAAGGCCTACAACCAAAATCACTCTACCCAGCAAGACTATCTAAAATGAAGGAGAGATAAAGAGCTTCCCAGAAAAGAATAAACTAAAGGAATTCATTACCACCAACCAGTATTGCAGGAAATGTTAAAAGGGCTTCTTTAGGCAGAAGAAAGGTGAAAACAAACTAACAAAGCCCAGAAATACAAATAATAAAATGGCAATAACTATGTATCTATCAATAATCACTTTAAATGTAAATGGATTAAATGCTCCAATCAAAAGAAGAGGATAGCTGAGTGGATAAGAAAACAAGACCCATGCATATGCTGTTTACAAGAGACCCACTTCAGATAAAAAGACACACACACACTCAAAGTAAAGGGATGGAATAAGATATTTCACACAAATGGAAATGAGAAAAATGCTGAAGTAGCAATACTTATATCGGACAAAATAGACTTTAAAATGAAGACTATAATAAAAGAGAAAGAAGGGCACTACATAATAATAAAGGGGTCGATCCAACAAGAAGCTATAGCACCAGTAAACATCTAAGTACCCAACATAGGATACCTAAATATATTAAACAGGAATTGACCAACATAAAGACAGGGATCAACAGTAAACTATCACAGTAGGGGATTTCAACACCCCACTGACACCAATGGACAGATCCTCCAAACAGAAAATCAATATGGAAACAATGGCCTTAAATGATACATTAGACCAGCTGGATTTAATGGCTATTTTTAAATCATTGCACCCCAAAACAGCAGAATATACATTCTTTTGAAGTGCACATAGAACATTTTCCAAGCTGGACTACATGCTAGGCCTCAAAACAAGTCTCGATAAATTTAAGAAGACTGAAATCATATCAAGCATCTTCTCTCAGCACTGTGCTATGAAACTAGAAATCAATTACTAGAAGAAAACAGGAAACCACACAAATACATAGAAGCTGAAAAACATCTTACTAAATAGCAAGTGAGTCAACAATGAAATCAAGAAATCAAAAGATACCTTGAGACAAATGAAAATAAAAACACAATGACCCAAAATCTATGGGATGCAGCGAAGGCAGTCCTAAAAGAGAATTTCATAGCAATACAGGACTACCTAAAGAAACAAGAAAAATCTCAAATCAACAGTCTATTTTTACACCTATGGGAACTGAAAACAGCAAGCAAAGCCCAAAGTGAGTACAAGGAAGGAAATAATAAAGATCAGTGTGGAAATAAATGAAATAAAGACCAACAAAACAATACAAAAGATCAATGAAACCAAGAGCTAGTTCCTTGAAAAGATAAGGAAAATTGAGAAGTGTTTAGCCAGATTTATCAAGACAAAAAGAGAGAGGACCCAAATTAATAAAATCAGAAATGGAAGAGAAGTGACCACAGACACCACAGAAATACAGAAAAATTTAAGAAAATAGTATGAGCAACTATACGCCAACAAATTAGAAAATCTGGAAGAAATGAATGTTTCTAGAAACATACAATCTTCCAAGGTTGAATCAAGAAGAAACAAAAAATCTGAACAGACAGATTACTACTAACAAAATTGAATCATTAATCAACAAGCTCCCAACTAACAAAAGCCCTGGACCAGATGGCTTTACAGGTGAGTTTTACCAAACATTCAAAAAAGAATTATCACCTAGTCTCCTCAAACTATTCAAAAACATCCACAAGGAGAGAAGTCTCTCAAGCTCATTTTCTGAGGCTACTATCATCCTGATCCCAAAACCAGACAAAAACATTACAAAAAAAGAAAATTATAGGCCAACATCCCTAATGAACAAACACAAAAATCCTCAACAAAATATTAGCAAACAGAATTCAGCAATACATTAAAAAGACCATATACCACGATCAAGTCGGTTTCATCCCTAGCACACAAGGTTGGTTCAATATCTGCAAATCAATTAATGTAACACACCACATTAACAAAATGAAAAATAAAAATCATATGGTCATATCAATAGATGCAGAAAAATTATCTGACAAAATCCAGCATCCATTTATAATAAAAACTCTGAGCAAAGTGGGAATAGAGGGGTCATATCTCAACATAATAAAGGCTATATATGATAAACCCACAGCTAACATCATACTCAATGGGGAAAAGCTAAAACCATTCCCCTTAAGATCAGGAACAAGACAAGGCTGTCCACCTTCTCCACTTTTATTCAACATAGTTCTGGGAGTTCTAACCACTGCAATCAGAAAAGAAAAAGAAATAAAAGGCATCC